TGTACTAAAAATCACTGAATTGTAAACCTTGAAAGGGAGAGAATAATGGTATATTTCAAGAAAGCTCTTATTAGGGAAAAAAATGATCCTACAAAAGAGGAAAATATTCGAACAAAAAAAAGACCTCAAAACTAGAATAGGAGCCAAGCAAGGTAGTGCACACCTATAATCACAGTGACTGAGGCTGAGGCAGGAGGATTGCAAGCTCAATGGGCATGTGTATATATATATGTGTGTACATATATATATATATAATATACACACACACACATACATACATATACACACACACATATATATACACACACACACATATATATATTTCATAACAACATATAAATATTAATAGGACACAAAGCAGTAAATAACAAAAGGCTCAATGAAAACCGTTGACAATGTAGGCTTCTGAGAATAAAAAAATGGCACAGGGTGTAAGGTATTGAGTTTTTTAAAATATGTGTTTGTAAATCTTTTTTTGTTGTTGACAAAAAAAATGAAATTAAAAATGAGAGGGGATGTCCAGTGCAGTTTCTCATCTGCTTTTGCCATGAGTCCTCTCTAACACTAAAGCTTTAGCAAGTCAAAAAGAAAAAAAAAAAAAATTCCAATTTTCCCTTTCCACGCAATCATTAAGTAATAATAAGTAAAACTTTCAAGTAGGTTGAGAGAGACCCAAGTGAATAGTAGGAGAGCCATTCAAAAATGTAGTTTCAGGGGCTGGGGCTGGGGCTGAGTAGCAGAGCCCTTGCTAGCACACGTGAGGCACTGGGTTCGATCCTCAGTACCACATAAAAAAATAAAATAAAGGTATTGTGGCCATCTATAACTAAAAATATATTATTAAAAAATGCACATTCAAGGGGCTGGGATTGTGGCTCAGTGGTAGAGCACTCGCCTCTAGCGTGTGAGACCCTGGGTTCGATCCTCAGCACCACATAAAAATAAATAAACAAAATAAAGATATTGAGCCCATGTATAACTAAAAAAATATTTAAAAAAAATGTACGCCCAAAAGGTTAAGTATCACAATGCACCAGACAACATGTATCTGCTCTTGAGAAGTTAAATCATCCTCAAGTTTCAGCCACTGAAGTTTTAGGATTTTGGTTCCCAAATGACTATCCCAAAAGAAATGTAACATCAGTGATCTGGCTTTTTTCCAAAGCTTCACAAACTAAAATATACCATATTGACTGAAATAACATTCTGGAAGGTCTTTGGGGTGACAGTAAATGTCATAACGTTCTGGAAAGCACATGACTTTGAAAGTCACGAGGAGTTACAGGTGATCTAAATTTTACTAAGTTTTCAGGTATGCTTTACAAAAGATCAGACAACTGAATGACATCATATTTAGCTAAAATTATATACTTACTTTCTAAACATAACACACATATGAACTGTAAAAATTAATACATGCAAAACAATATAAAAATTATCAGACACACTACCAATTCAAGTTAACAGCTCAACTCTTTGGAAATATCTGCATGGACTTTACCACTTAAGGAGTCTCCAAGTTTTAGAATTCAGAGCTGAGAGACCATGTGGGTAGAGAGATACTCTAACAGGAAGATTTTATTAACTAGTTCTATCTGATTATCTCAATATGATTTTAATTGCAAGATGACAAGTAAATTAAATCCTATTTTCCAGCTCTCCTGCAAAGTAAAACTGCTTAATGTACAAGTCTCTTTTCCCAACTAATAAGCAAAAATGGACAATAAAAACTACTGCTCAAATGAGATTACTACTCTTATTATTTAAGTTATCTATCTAATATAAAAACATGTTCACTATGTATTTTTTAGCAATATAATTAATCTTATTCTTCTTTGACAGTGAATAAACTCTTGAAGAGGACAACATTTTCATTCTAGGACTAAATCCAAATTTTGGAAAGCATTAAAAAATTCTACAGTATTAGTCCTTTGGAATCTTGCTAAACTGAATAACTTACCAAGCTCCCAAAATAACAACAAAATCCATAACAAGGTAAGCAAAATCTAGACTATTCAAGACATGCAGTCAGCCACATGGAGCCAATACAGCAGAGATTAGACTTCCCAAGTAACAGCAGTACAATGCCTTAAAAGCTCCATTCCACTTGGGAATATCCCCAATGAATTCAGGTGGTAACCAGATCCCTGACACTCAGAATGCTGCATCTTGTATAATAAATATAAAGAAACATGAAGTTTTAGCTTCTTTCACTAGAGAACAGTTTCTAAAAAAAACACCCTCGTTCTCCAGAAGCTTGTGTGGTCCATTTCCCTTGGCCTACCCACTTCATTCTGGTGGTTTTACTTTGTTTATTTATTTATTTATTTTGGCGATGCTGGGGATTGAACCCCAAGCCCCACATATACTAGGTAACTGCTCTATGCTCAGCTTCTCTCCCAGCCCGTGTGGGGAGGGATGGTGGGGACTGAACCCGGGGCCTCACTCTTATAGGCAAGTACTCCACCAGTAAACTGCATTCCCAGACCCTGGTCCACAATTTTTAGAAGTTGGGCACTAATGAGAGAGCTGACACCTTCATTCCTATCCAGAGGTCCAAGCCACTTTGCAAATTCTTTATCAACGTTTAGAAAAGAGAAAGCTAAGTCAAAGATCAGGTGACACGTGTGACTAGAAGGCTGGGAAAGGCAGCTTCAACTCCAGCTCTGGCATCAACCCCTGTGGGGCCTTACCTGAGTCACCCAGTATTAGGGGCTCCAAGACCACCCAAAGTCTAATAGCTCGCTGGGAAGACTCACCGGACTCAGCACAGTCATACAGCAAAATTAATACAACAAAATAATTAATACAACAAAAGGACACAGCACAACCAACAAGAGAAAAGGTGTCTGGGGTAAAGACCAGAGGAGACCCGTGTGGCCTCCTAAGTCTCTCCTGGGGAGTAGCGCAGGGCGTTAATTCACCCAGTCCTGAGCTGTGACAGCTGAGTAAAAAACTGTCCACTGGGAAAGCTCCTTAGAGACTCAGCACTCGGGAGGCTTACTGCAGGCTGAGATGCAGACACAGTTAAGCGCTCGCTGAGATGCCAGACTCCCCAAGGGAAATCAGGTGTGCAACATAAATCATGGTATATTGCAGGTTGGACACAGTGATGCTCTCTGATTCCACTCTGGCAATGGCGGAAACCTTCGCCAAATCCACTGTTTCTGCACACCAGCCTGGAGCCAGACTTGTAAGCAGGCCTTGCTGAGGACAGCAGTCTCAGGCCTGCTTTGTTAACTCCTCTCTGCCCTCATTTCCCCAAGATCTCAGTTTCACATGGTTTTCCCCCCTGACCCACTTGCTACCTTCCAACAATGTATAGAAGCCACTCTGTAAGACAGAAACTCTGTAAGATGGTATAGATTCAGGGCTTCAGGCCTCAGGAAGCCACACAGCAACAAGAGACCATCCCTGGGAGAAAAAAATTTCACTGTTCAAGGCAGTTATCCCAGTGACAATGGTGACCTTATCTTTAAAAAGCCTTCTCCCCCCTCAAGGCCGCCCCTCCCAGTTCATCTGCACCTTTCAGCTTTCCCTAAGAGATCCTCAATGTCGTGTCTTTAAGTTCTTCCCCTTCAGTGTTCTCACCACATGCATATTCAGACACCAGAGCACATACATCAGATGTATCTTATATGAAATGCTTAAGACTAGAAGTGCTTCAAAGGTCTGTTGTTTGGATTTGGAAATATCAACTTTACCAGTTGAGAAGGACTCTCAAGTTTTAGAACTCATAGCATTTCAGACTTTGGATTTTCAGATTAGGGATGCTCAACCTATAATTCTGTCCTCACTGATCATTTTTTGTTAAAAACATGAACAGTTTTAGTTCCATCTAATTATCTTGTATGTAACACAAAACCCACAATGTGTAACATCCAGGCGTGGTGGTGCATGCCTATAATCCTGGCAACTTGGGAGACTAAGGAGGGAGGACCACAAGTTTGGGCTAGCCTGGGCAATTCATGGAGACTCTGTCTCAAAAATAATGTGGGTCAGTGTTTTAAAGTGTCCCTGGGTTCCATCCCTGGCACCAAAAAAATAAGACAGGTGACTCCTCTAAAATAAGACAGGTGACTCCTCTAAAATAAGACAGGTGACTCTTATATACTATTTCAGCATTTCATTCCATATCCAGATGCCCAGTACTCTATAAACTCTTACATAAAACAGAATAGAAAAAGTTAAAAGGTAAGCGAAAAGAACAGGATATGAATCCTGGCTACAACTCTTATTGGCCATGTAATCTTTCGAAAGTCATTTTGCGCCTCTGGGACCTTGCTGTTCTGATGGACACAAGGAAAGTCTCAAACAAGCTGCTCCACAACCGCACTCCCATTCTGATCTCCCAGCAATTTCCCATTACTTTCTTCCTTAAAGGAACAGCATGGGGTAAAGGTTTAGAATTGATTTGGTGCCATCTTTCTCCTTCACAGTTGAAATGATAAATATACAATTGTTATATTACTTTATTTTCATTATAACAAAGAACTATTTGTGGATTCAAGTCATCTTAGATATGACAAGACACTGGTTCCTTGCATTAGCTTCCACACATTGACTGAATAGAAAGCTAACATTTTGAAGATATTTTCCAAAAACACTATGTTATTGCTAGCCAGATACATTCGGGAAAGTCTTTATTAATTCAAATAAATATATCCCAAGCACCTACCATACCTTGTGCTATGTACACACAAGATGCAGAACCACAGAAACTGGAAGAGTACTGGGTGTTAACACCAATCACTTTTTAAAGGTGCTTCTAAAATCAGTATGCGGCATAGGAATGGGCCAGATGTCTAAAGGAGAAAGTCTCATTTGAGAGAGTAGAATAGGAGGGGAACCTTATGTACGATTCAGTCAAGATATCTAACCACCAACCCTCAAACCAAGCATTCTTTGAATAAAATTACCACATCAAAAACAGTACTGCAAAAAGATGGTACCTAGAAAGAGCAGGGTGGGTAGAAAAAAAGGAAAAAGTTTGAACTCACCGGGACTGTGGCAATCCTTTTTTACTGAGATCTGCCCTCACACGTTCTCCTACATGTCTGTAAATTTCCACTAAGCTGTTTATTGCTGCATCTCGAACCTAGATGGAAAAGAAGAGACCTTATAGCTGCTGTGTGTCACTCCCCAGCACTTCCTGCTGGGTCACAACAGGCCACACACCACCCCAACTTATCTGCACAACTAAATACAATCCCTTATACGCCCTGGACTAAAGTCTCGTTTGACAATTTTCCTTCCTAGAGACACCATCCCAAAGTGTAGAAAATGCACAGGTTCCCCACCCCTACATATGTGCTAAAAGTCTATATCCTTAATTCTTTCCATTCTTTAGGATGATGTCAGGAAAACACAATTTTTAGGTCATCTTTCCATGAATTATTTGAAAACAAAAACATCATGCAAAATACTCTGAATTTAAGTTGAGTAAATGGTACTTAATGACCTACAAAAAAATGGAGAGTACAGGTTGCACAGACCCCATATTCAAGGAGCTCAAAGTCCTAAAGAGGAGAGGGAGGAAAAATTCCTAAGCTCTACATTTAATACAGGATGCAATAAACATTATTCAACAGCACAAAGAGCACAGTAGAAAGGAGGGTGCAGTCACATCGGGGCATTTCAAGATATGCTATATGGAAGAGAGGGGCACCTAAAAATGTGCTTGGAAGGAAAGGATGTCACCAGGTCCAGTTGGAAGGAGACAGGTGCAAGGTTTTAAACAAGATCCCACCTGTGCTAAGGCAGAAAAGCAGGGATGCACAGCACGTGCTTCAGGAAGGGCAAGTACTTCAATCTAGCCAGAGAGAAAGAGGAACCAAGACAGCAGCACAAAATCAGGATGGAGAGACAGGGTAGATCCCCACCCCCACCCCAGTTCCCTTGAAGAAATTTGAATGTAGACTGTAAAATAAACAATACTATACTGTACAATATTAAATTTCTTAGGTACAAAAATGACATAGGATTGAGTAAGAAAATATCCTTGCTACGGAATGATACATACTGAGGTTTCTAGGAGTTAAAACAATTTTTTTAGTATAAAATGCCATAATTTCATACTTCTTTATGGCTGATTAATACTCCATTGTGCATATAAATATGTTTAGGCTATACTATCTTGTCGCCCAAAACCTTACTCTATGAACAGATTTGTGTCCATCAAAAAGTAACATCTGCATATTACTTTTAAATGGTTCACTAAAAAAAAGTTATGAGTGCAAATGCATGTATGTGTGTACAAATAAAAAGAGGGGGTAGCTGGGGGGAGCAGTGTAATAAATAGGTAGGCAAAGATGGGGGAGAAACATGATTTTACATTTGGTCCCAAGCAATGAAATCAAAGTACTGGAGTGAAGGAAACAGGTAGGATAGGAATAGAAATAATTTATGGTCTGGATACTGCAGGCTACCCTGTGATTTAATAGTGTCATATGACAGGTAACTTTATTCATAATTCCCCCTCCCCGCCCCCCGTGGAAAAGCCAAATCCTCAGCTTTATCATCTTTTTAAAAATTTGTTATTTTTAGATGTGCATGACAGTAGAATGTATTTTGACATATTATACATACATGGAATATAACTTATTCTAATTAGGATCCCATTCTTGTAATTGTATGTCACATGGAGTTTCACTGGTCATGTATTCATCTATGAACATAGGAAAGTTATGTCTGATTCATTCTACTATGTTCCTTTTCCCATTCCCCTCCCTTCCCTTTATTCCCCTTTGTCTAATCCAATGAACTTCTATTCCTCTATTTCACCCCTTATTGTGTGTTAGCATCCACTTATCAGAGAGAACATCTGGCCTTTGGTTTTTAGCACTTACTTATTTCACTTAGCATGATAGTCTCCAGTTCCATCCATTTAGTATGAAATGCCAAAATTTCATACTTCTTTATGGCTGATTAATACTCCGTTGTGCATATAAACACATTTAGGTTATATTATCTTGTCCCCCAAAACCTTACTCTATAAACTGATTTGTGTCCATCAAAATCCAAATGTTGGAGACCTAACACCCAATGTTACTGTTATGTAGAAATAAGGCCTCTTAGGCGAACAGAGGTTAAATGAGGTCATAAAGGTGGGGCCCTGAAATGAAAAGATGATTAACCTCATAAAAGACATAGAAAGAAGCAGCAGAGAGAGAAGGTGGCCATTTGAAGCCCAGGAATAGAGTCCTGCCACAGTGGCACCCTGGCCTCAGACTTCCAGTCTCCAGAACTGAGAGAAAATGAATGTCTGCTGGTTAAACCCCAGCTAGTCTATGTTGTTTCATCACGGCAGTCCAGAAATTTACTCACACAGATTATCAGTTTATGTTGTTAAAACAAAAACAAAAACACAATCTCTAATGCTAGGAAACATTTTCACATAGCAATAGGCAAACACTACAAAAGTAGTTCATGACACTGTGTCTTGGCAACGAGGAGTAAGAGCACCATCTCTGCTCACTTTCTAGTGATGCCATCTGCTCGTCACATCGGCTGGTCTCCTTAAAAAGCAACCCGTACCAGTTACTTACAAAGTGTAAGCCATAAACAGTTAAAGACACTTAGTGGAATTAGTAGCTTTGAAGTCAATGTAGACCTAAAGACTGACATGGCCACCAGAAGCTGCATGACCTTAGAGGTAATACTGAACTCCTGTAGTCTGCTTCCTCCTCTATTAATTGAGGGTTGCTTTGAGAGATAAAAGAATGGATTCACTCAACAAATACTTGAGTGCTTACTGCTCACACAGACAAGTGGTGAATGATGAATGAGTGGGACAAGCTGCAGGTAGTAGTGATGTGGCACTGGCAGGGGACCCTGCTAGCTGCTAGAAGAGGGAAGGCAGACTCAGGCACACAGGTCTCCATCACCCCACCATGGGATGATGTAGGCATGGCTCTGCCACACCTTGTACACTTTCAAGAAAAGTCAGAAAAATGTGTCTGCCTGCACACTCATCTAAAATCTCTGCAGGTAAAATTAAAACATTCTGCAAACACACACACACTCACACACATATATATAACAATCTGCATGCAATCAGATCTTGCGCCAGTTTTTGACCTACAATTTCTGTATCTGATGCACTAAACACAATGATGATCATTCTCTACATCTTTTAAACAAACATTGTTGGCCTCTAAAATAACCATTCCTCAGACTTAGAAAGCTCCAGGGTCTAAACCAGGCTTTACTGAAGAAATGCAGATGAGCAGATTCTCTTTGGTCCTACAAGGTTCAATACTCTAAGTGGGAAGGGAAGGTTAAATGAGAGCAGTTCAGTAGAGAAGGAAGAAAGCATGGTTGCTCACGAATGCACAGGTCTCACACTGCCTCTACCTGCTTACCCGTCAGGCCCACCACAGAAAGGAGCCCCCAGCCTCAGGATATTCAGGCTGTGAAAGGTGCCATATATGAAGCACTACCTGCCAAGCACAAGTTGAACACTTTATCTATAAAGTTATCTAGGGTTTCCCGTGGATGCCACGGTGTTCCTTCCTTCCATCCTCAAAGGGGTCCCGTTTCCTAGACACCCAAGAGGGAGTGAAGGCTGGAGAGGTGAACCCCTGCCCCAGAATGGAAGCAGAACTGCCAACTGAGTGCAAGCCTGTGTTCTCCTTTAAGCACACTGCATCCCAACACGGATGTCAACATTAGGGGGAAAAAAAAAAAAAACACTCAGAGGGCTTGACGGCTGGGGTAGTGGGACAGAAAGGCAGCATGTAAAAGTTGCTGAGAATCTAAATCTCCCCCAACCTCCATCCTCCTGGACATGAGCACAGCCCCAAAGCCAGCTGCCTGGGCAAAAGGGTACCACAGGAGTGCACCAGTACACCCATGAAGCAGGGACACAGCAGCCCTGTCAAACCCTTCACAGAGGCCGGCTTTCTCCCCACCTCTGCACCAGCTGGGAAAGCACTGGTTCATCAGGCATGGAGACATGTTGCAGTAGGCCTTACAAGAAGTGTGCAGCGCACAGCAGCAGGGGAAAGCCACCTGGAAGCAACCCCCGTTATGCTGCCTCAGGCGAGGCTAGGAGCCCAATCCACAAAACCCAAGGCTGTCAAGCACAACTAGGGCTCTTCCCTAGTCCAGGACTTCCTACTGTGCAGGCTGCCAGCTTCCTTTACCACAGCCACTGCCCTGCCCCTCTCATCAACATGCTGGGTCTGTGGTGGAATCCACACGTCCAGGAATGAAAGCCTGTCTCCTTAGTATGTGGCTATCACACAACCCTGGGACGGCACACAGGGCCTGGGACAGGACTCTCCACATCGAGATAGGAGAGAAACTGCGGGAAAGCTTATGGAATAGGTTCCTATGCTCTTGGAAAGGGACAGCTGGGGAAGAGTGAATGCTGGTCGGCACTCGATATGAGAGAATTATCCATTACTGGAGGACAGGAGGTGACAGTGTTATTAGGGTTATGTTTTTAAGGTAAAAGTCCTTATCCTCTGGCATAGTTAGGAATTAAATAATGTCTAAGATTTGCTTCAACATAATCTAAATTTTGCTTCAAAATAATGGGACGGGGAGGGGAATCAGGAAACTGACGCTGGATGGCACCCTCATTACTTCTGTGCACATTTGAACCTTTTTTTTTTTCTTTTGCAGTGCTAGGGATAGAATCTGGAGCCTTGCACATACTAGGCAGCAATTTACCACTAGGCCGCACACCCAACCCTGTCTGAACCTTTCGATGCAAAAAGTCAACAACAGACAGGAGCTTGGGAGGTGAGATCTCCCATCCACCAGGCAGCCAGCCCTGCATGTGTGTGGCCTGGCTGCAGAACCAAATACACTCCAAGGGGAGAGCTGTAGAGCACAGCGCCACAGTGGAGATGGCGAGATGCTCAGTCTCTGAGGGTGCCACTGGGCCATTAGGAAGCTGGACCTCCCTTCAGGACTACTCCTTGAGCACAGTGGTATTTGCTCCTTGCTCTAGCAACTATAGGCTGGGTTTTTAGTGACTTGCACCAAAAGCATTCTAACCTTCATACTCCATGCATCTATGGCCACTCTGGGAAGCCTCAGGAGGGCTTCTACTGCTCCGAAACACTCAGCTACGCTCAGATGACTAAGGGGGAATTCACATCCTCCAAGGCAGGAGTGACCTGCAGAGTTCATTTAAATACTATGCACTCAGTGCTGGCGGCCACCTGAAGAGCTGCAAGAGAATTTCAGTGGCCACTCGTGAGAGGGTATTGAAGAACTAGAGGCTGACTACTATGTCAGGCACCCGAGTGCAGTGATAGCACCAACAAAACCCAAGTGTGCTCTCTGGTCTGAGACTAACGAAGAAGGGAAAGTTCATCCAGAGTTATGGGGTGGCCAGGAACTGTAAAGAACAGCAAGCTATAATCTTCATCCTCAAGGCCAGAGCCTAGGAGGAAAAACTGATGAAAAAATTAAAATAAAGACAAGTAAGGACATGGGGGTGCAGTTCAATGGAAGACTGTGTACTTAGCATGCACATGTCTTGGGTTCAATCTCCAGAACCAAATACACTGATATAAAAGCACATGCAACTTACGTTAAGAACCCCAGAAGGAGCAGTGATCAACTTGATTAGTGCAAGGGAAGCAAGGTGGCAGGGTTTCTGCGAGCGGTGGTACATATATGTGCATGCAAATGTACAGATAAGACACGACTAAGGCAGTTTAGATATAAGGATTAATTGCAGAGTACTGTGTGTGGGATCCCCAGGTCACACATCCTGTCTACTAGACTCTGAAAAGCTGCCCATACAGTCACAAACTGCATTTTATAGCAGGGGAAAAAAATGAAAAAGCAATAAGAACTTTCTTCCAACCAGAGGCACAAAGACCTAGGACTCAATCCATAAAACTTAGTGCAGGAAGTAGTAGCTTGAACTTTGGGCTTCATGAAATATTTTAAACAAGTTTTGCATTTTTTCCTCTTAGAAAAAGAAATTATTTTCTTATTTCTTCATAAATATATAAATATATATATAATAATCTTTATATGATTATTTAGACAGCAGTAAGAAACAATTCCACTAAAAGGTGTTTCTTTTGCATTTAAGTTATACTTATGATTACCATTGAGAATCGGTCCAAGAGCATCCAGCTTTTGGTAATGACACTGATTTTTGGTACACAGAGGGTTCTCAATGTTTGGTATAAAAGAAATATGTCTATGACAATATCACAAATACATTTCAAGACACCAATGCCTGTCCTGTGATTTAAGAATTTTCATATATTCAAAACACTATATCTAAGAATTTCTTAGAAACTCACTGGAATGTGGCAGGTGTGAGATTTCTGCAAATGAAAATGGCCATCAGGCCACAAGGAGACTTCCAAGTAACTTGGCCCTTCTAAGGGTCTTCTACTTGGCTCAATGGTCAGGCCAGCAGGTAAGAACTGTCACCCTCCCAAGTACTTTCACAAGGAGTGAGGAGCAAGGCAATCATCACCGCCCTGAGAGGGAAACTGCAGTTCAAGATCCAAGTGCCCACTAACGTCAACTAGCTATAAAGTGCAAAGGCAGGACCAAGCCCAGTCCCGTGTTTTCCACCTAGGCGTTCCGGCACCACACTAGGCAGCTCGAAGTTGTAAATACACTCTACCTTCTGTCACCTTTAAAACACTATACCAAACTGCTCAAGTTTGATGCTACCTTAATCTCTTAGATAACTGAATGTTTTCCAAATACATGATCATTCTGGTCACATGTAATTTAATCTGTGGTGCTTCTAAAATAAGGAAAACCTTACTAAAATCCCTCACAAATTAACCCCTTCTCTAGACCTAAAGGAACAAAACTGCATCAGGGAACAACCCAACACAAGGACAGATCAGTCTCTCCCATCCCTTCTGCAGAATCTTCAAGGAACTTCTTAGTGGTGATGAGGCCAGGGGTTGCTAACTGAGGCTTCCCCTATTAGGAAACTTCAGAAGAAAACCTATGAAGAATTCTACATTCTTGGAGGCTTGTCTGAACAGCTTTCAGTATGAGAATGTCACTGTTTCAAAACTTTAAATGTTAAGAACACTTCATTCTCAGTGACTCTCAAAATCTACATGGAATCTGTGATCTTTCAGGCAGGGAAATACTGAGTTTTTCCCCCACAGTACACATCAGTGGAGGGTCCTGGCCTAACAATGTCTCCTCCATGTGCCTCTGGAGGATGGTGTCCATCTCAGTTACAGAAACAAAACCTGAGACCCCAAACAACACCAAGCCAGCAACCTTCCCCCAACCCTGCAAAGCCTAAGCTTCTACTCCAACAGCAGAAGCTCATAGTTAGTGTATATGGAAGAAAAGAAGGGACAGAGAGGCAGAATGAGAACATGAATCATGCTGCAGTGTGGCACACAGTGACACCTGATGGTACACAGCAACATCCACCCACCTCACCAAGTCAGACTCTGGACAATGTCACACTGTCATCCCAGGTCACATGTGTCTAGCCTACCTTCACAGTTAAAGTGTACTGTGGATGTGCACTCAGGTCCAGTGTTAACATTCATGTCACAAACCTGGCCAGTGTAAGCATCTGAATTAAGGACAATCAACCTTGACTAAAGAAGATGGTATTTCTGCTTGGCAAATACGCACCATGTATTAGGTGTGACATACTCAGTGTAGCCTCTAGAAAGGGGCTCTTCTGTTGAGGACAGCACGGTGGTGCATGCCTGTAATCCCAGTGACTTGGGGAACTGAGTTCAAAGCCAGCCTCAGCAATTTAGTGAGGCCCTAAGGAACTTCGCAAGACCCTGTCTCAAAAAATAAAAATGGTTGGGATGTGGCTCAGTAGTTAAGTGCCTCTGGGTTCAATCCCTAGTACCAAAACAAAACAAGACAAAAACAGACAAGACCAAGGCAGGGAATGTGGCAAGATAAGCCATTGGATAATCTAGGATTTTTTTTTTTTAATTAAAGATAATCTAGGATTTTTTTTAACTTAAAAGTAAAACTAATACTGACTAGGAAGCATGATTCAGTAAGCATAAGTACCTAATAGCTGTATTTCCAGTGCCACGCAGCTTCAGTGAAGGCTGAGTGGGAGAAAATGGGACAAGCAAAGGAAAAAGCAAGGACCACACAGCACAAGAGATGCCAGAGAGAAGACGAGAAACTGCCATGGGACTCGAGAGCAAAGACAAAAGGAAGAACAGGAGGGACACAGACCCAGCAAGACCTAGGGGCTGGCACCTAAGTGGAAGGAGAGATGGCACAGCCTTGTTGGAGGGTGATTTGTTAACAATTGAGACTTAAAATGAGATGCCTATTCATCAGATATATTTCTTTTATAACTTACTGCCACATTTTCTGCCCCTCTGTCTAGGAAAAGACCTATCCCTCTGTATGAGCTGGTATAATAAAAATGACTCTGGGTGAGAAACAAGCAAACTGGGCAAGACAGATGGTCTTGTGGAGCTCAGACCTGGAAGCTTCCTGAGCTGCCTGATGGCCACAGCAGATGTCACCAGACTGTGATGCCTAGTAACCACAGAGCACGTGACTAGCTCCTCTTCACCTTTTTTTTTTTTTAAAGGATTCTTTATTGTTTAGACATAGCTACTTTTCATTTACTTATTGCTAAAATGAATTCAAATGTGTAGTTTCTTTTATGCTAGAGCAAACCAGGAAATCAGGACACAACTGCCATCGTTAAATTTTAATCTTCAGAGAACAGGATCTCCACAAGGCTGGCCTGAAGACACTCAGATTCCACCACTTTTTGAGATGTTCCCTATTTAATTAGTGGAGGGACTGCAGTTACTTTCAGTTGTTTTCTGAAGTCATCAATTGGATCTTTCCAAGAAGTTTTTTCTCCTACTTGGCAGTGGATGAACACCCAGCCTTTACTGATAGGCTTCAGCCCCTCTCGAATGACTGGGATACCACCAGCTGTTCCCTTCGGTGTCCTTAGAACCCATAAAGTACAGGAAAATAGTCTTGCCGAGGTGCTGCTTCACAGCCTGACTCAACTCCTGGAAGCCCAACATGCTCACCTCCTCATAGACAGCCATGGGTACTGTGCACTGTTCGGGGCAGAAAGAGTCCACTGCTGCTGGGCAGAACCCCCTCAGGGTGGGGGGATACCACTTCCTGATGTCCTCTCCACCTTACACTAACAAAGTGCTTTGCCTTTTGCAATTTAGGTAAAATTTGTTTCAAGCACAATTCTTAAGGAAATAGTACAAGCACTGTCCACAGTGATACAGCAGCAAGCATAGACACTGCCTGGAGCAAAATACAGAAGATGCCCTCAGATCCTTTCCTAGTCACTCTTCCCGGTCCCACCCTCACCCTTTTTGGCTTAAGAGATAGTGACCAGAGTGGTCCTATCTTGGAGGCTGAACTGGATGACAGCAATTTATAGAGGTCAGTGATTTCACAGCCCTACATAAGAGAGGGAACCGAGCAGCCACAACTTTACCAGTATTTCATGAATAATAACTGGTAGCTAATGTCATACACAATGATCAGAATTCTATGAAGATGAGCGAGCCCTACCCACCTACCGGCCCTACAGAGAACACCAAAGTTCATCTGAGCACTCAGTAAATAAACGATTTCCCCCCAGGATTTTCTTCCTCACTCACCTGGCTGTTTGGGTCTCCAAGTAAGTTACATATGTGTGGCACGATCTTGCTTAGTGTCAGAGTATGTGCTCCAGAGCTGAGAACAAAAGGGGTGTGTGACTGTTAGTGAGAACTAAGGAAAAGAAAGAAGCCCCTTTGCCCACAGCCGCCCCTCCTCCACTTCCCAGAGTGCAACCACCCTCACAATACGGCCCTCTCCACCCCGATGGAACGCACCCCAATGGGCCCTTTCCCAGGAGTTCAAGCCCCTCAGTGGCCCTGACCTTTAGAGGCTAAGCCAGAAGCCTGCTCCCACCATAGTGCTTGCCTCACCCATGATACCTCTGCCCTGTGCTTTGTCATGTCATAGTATCTGTCCTGACAAGCTCAGTGACCAACCAAACTGCAAGTCCCTTGAAGCCACCCCTGGAGGTCCTTGTGCTCTATGGAATAGCTCCTGCTATAGCAGACATTCCGTTAATGCTGCTGGATGACAAAACTGTGATGGAGTGGCCGCAGGACTTCCGACCACATGCTGCCCTGCTGGGAGACCTTCAGGTATTCACAACTCTTCCCCATCACAAGCACAGTTGCCACAAACGCCCTTTGTTAATACTTTATATAAATGGTAGAGACAACTCTAGAAAATATTTCAGTAGTTTCTTTCAAAACTAAAAAATAACCCTGCCACTGTACTCTTGGGCAATGACCTAAGAGAAATAAAAACAACATACCTGCAGAAATTTAGACATATTTGTGTACACACATTTGTAGCAACTCTATTCCTAATAATCCCAAACTATTCCTAATAGTCCCAAACCCAAATTTTCTTCAACTGTTGAATGGTTCAACAAACTAGGATACATCTATAGCATGAATTCTCAGCAATAAAACAAAATGAATTACTGTCACTGTCAATAACAGATATTACAACCTCAAGGGAATTATGCAGACTAAAAAGGCTCTCAAAAGATTACATATGGAATTATTCCATTTTTATGACAAAATGACAGAGATGGAACACAGACTAGTTATCCAGGCAACAGGGCAGCAGGTGGGAGACCTGTGAGTACTGGTGTGCATACACAGAAGCCACACATGTATACCTGGAGCAATCTGAATAAGCTCTGTGAGCTGTGCCAATATCCCTTTCCCAGAGTTGACACTGTACTACCTGCAGTTCACTGTACTGCAGTTATGGAAAACGTCAGCACAGGCAGGGGGATACACCTCCCACTACATTTCTTTGCAGCTTCCCATAAATCTATAACTTCCAAAATAAAAAGTGTATTAAAAAGCTTAAGCCAAGTAAAACTTATAAGTTCACCCCAGACTTACGCATTGAGTGTTGCAATAAGGCAGAGACAGATGCCTTCTCTTGTACGGAAATTCTTGTGTTTGAAGCCTCCAAGCATTCTGTCCCATACATACTGCAGGTAAAAGAACAGGTGAGAGGACAGAAATAGCTGCAGCCCTTCCCTTGGGTTGCAGAGGAGGAGCCTCTTAGAAGGTGCCAACCTGGTCCCATCCTCCATCAGCCCCCTCGGCCCTCTCCACAGCATATTGAAGAACAATGGCTCGTACCATTTTATCAAACACATCATGTTAAAATGTTCAAAATGCATACATTTATAGAATTTTATTTAATTCCATCAACACCTCTTAAAAGAGAGGTATAACTGGCCTTGTTTTATAAGTGAGAAGAACAAGACCAAAAGAGAAGAGATGACTTGACAAAGACCCTGTAACACTCACACTGCTCTATGCCTGGGACAACTCTACCCAGGCACAAGTCACACACTTGGTCATCTTCTATGGCCAATTTAATCTTCCTCAGAAAGGTTTTTACTGATGATCATCCCCACCTCACCACCAACAATGGACAGTGGGACCCTGACAGGCTGCATCCAATCATCCCAGCAGGCCCAGCTCCACAGCAGATAGAGCCCAGGGATCCAGCCAGTGCCCCTAGCTTCCCAGATACCAGGGCTGCCTCCTTTCGGGGAAAAGGGGGAGACAGTGGTGAAAATGAGTTAAAGAGCCTAACTGATAAACCAAGCATCCAAAACCCATGTTAAATCCACTAATTTATTCAAATGATGGGTTCTGCTACTTATTTAAACATCTTATATTAGGGGACAGATTAAATATATGAAAATGCTCCCCTGTAACACACCAACTTAAAAGAAATTAAATCTATGGAATAAAATGCTGTTTATCCAAGTGGACACATGCCCACTGACCCCAGAATGCTTCTCTCACCTACCTGGGGATTAGCAGCTTGATCCATGATCTTTAGCAGCAGAGTTTGGTCTTGCTCCCTCACAGAGTCTTTAGCATCTCCCAGTCTGTCTATTAGACTTGGCAGCACTGAAAATCAACATGGAAGTTGATCAAATGGAAACCAAATGGTGGTGGTGGGGGGTGTCATCAACTGCTAATATTTCAACTAATTAAGAAGATAAACCACTGGCCTAACTCGTGTACCTCATTCTAAGACGGCCCATTTTTGTGCACAACTCTACTCTTCTTGATGAAATGCAAGAATTACCAAAAGAATCCACAAAATCCACTGCATAGACAAATTGCAAGACCAACTGGCTTGGTTTTGCGTCAGTTTTGCAGGGCTTCTTAAAACAGTTCTATAAAAGAAAGGTTGGGGACAAATGAGTGGGTCGGTACTAAAGAATGATGGCTACTTTTGCACAAGAAATCAAGCTGGCAATAACATTTCATTATCAGAACACGTATTATTAACGTTCCATATTAGAACATGAAGACTGGGGGGAAAACAACAGAAAAGTACAATGCAATAAGGCCAGTGATGTGTGGTCCGGGGAAAGCAGAAGGAAACAGAGCTGGGAAGCAGGGTTGGCAGGGAGCGAAGGGTGGCTGGAGGAACTGAGAAGACTCAGGGAAGGCAGCGGGGCTGCAGAGAGGAGAATCCAGGTCGGCTCCACACCTGCCCACAGCTCACCTGTGCCGATTTGCGCCTTGAACCGATCCTGCAGCCGGGTCACCAGAGCCGACAGGATGTCCATGCCCAGAAGAACCACCTGCAACGGGAAACAGCAGGAGCCGGTCAGCGGCGGGCCCGGGGAGCAATGCCCCCGCCCACCCACTCAAAGAACGCCCCAGCATGTCTGGCCCGACGTTATCCGGAGCCCGTTGCGCGGGCGCCGACTGGGAAAACTAAACTGGCCAGAGGAAGGAGGCTGTCGCACAAAACAGCCGTTTACAGTTTTGGTAGAAAACACTCAGTGCCAAAAAAACGAAAATAAGCAGCCACGCGTGGCCCAACTCCCCGGCGCCAAGGAGAGCTCCTCGAGCCCCGCCCTCTGTCAGCCCCGCCCCATCAAGCGCGTATGCAAATTATCGGTCGGGTGGCGCGAGGTCTTCTGGGTAAAACAAACCCTTCGTTTTTGCGGCCCTCCGAAGCCTCAGAAAATGGGGGTGGGTGGTTTGAGTCCGGAGCTAAGATCACTAGAAGTACGCTAACTACCAGGCAGGCTAGGGCGGGACTCCTGAAATTAGTCACCACAACCCTACCTGGTATTGGCGCTTCCAGCTCGCAGTGCACGCAAGCTCGCGCTCAACCATCCTTTTCTTGGGGTTGCGTTACTGTCCAATGAGCGTCTAGTGAGGGCAGTACTGCTAACGCCTACACAACACACTCGCATCAATTAGAGCTTTGCTTTATTTTGGTGCAATTTTTGGAAAAATGAAAAACCTCTTTTCCCTGCGTTCTGAGTTTAAAAATAGCTAACTTAATCTTAAAACTAGATCGCTTTACTTTGCCATCGCTAGGTGGCGTAACACACCCGCTGTTTAGAAGTTTTGAAGACTGTATTATCACAAAACCCACTCCCACTTCACCATCACCCGATTTCTAATACTTGTGATACCGAACCCATTATTCAAAAAGGAAACACTACTGGAAGTACTTGTAATACTTGCCTGCCGTTGCTCTTCCAATTCATGATTTCTCCAACTATGGCTAGCAAAGAACTAGGCTTCATATTTAGTTGTTATCCACTGCTTCTAAAGAAATCCAAATTTGCCCAATAACCAGAATACGTGAATTGGCGTGGCCTCTCAAGGGAATAGCTGTTTGACAATATATTAAGTGAAGGTTGATTTGTAGACAAATTTCTATACTATTATGTAATGGTATTTTAAAAAGCTAAAATAGTGACTTTTTTATATTATTATGATGTGGATTTTTCCTTTTTGTAGATGGATACAATATCTTTGTTTATTACTTTGCTTTTGAGCTTTAAAAACGCTCCACATTTAACTTCCTTCTTATAAATACAGCATAGGGCGTAGTGATCTTGCAGTGACAGATGTTACCCCAGCCAGATGATGAAGGTCAATCAGCAATCAAATCATGCTGGTGGTGTGTATTCTTGATATTATGGAAAACGCACTCTTTATCTCTAGGACAGTCCTCCCAACAACCAGTAAGTCCAGTCTTATCATGAGGGAAAAAAAAAAAAAAAAAAGCAAGAAAATTCCAAGAACAGGGCTCCTATAAAACACATGACCAGTGCTCCTCAAAATGTCCAGGTCATTAAAAACAAGGAAGACTGAGAAATTGTTACAGCTAAAAGACACCAAAGGAAAGATAACAATTAATGTAAAATGGTATTTTGGATGGGATTCTGGAACAGAAAAATAACAGATTTTTCTTAAATTAAAAACTAAGTAAATCATCACTAGTAAAAACTAAGTAACAAAGCATAGATTTTCACCAATAATAATGTATTGATATTGGCTTATAAAGTGTAAGAAATATTGCATACTAATGTTAGATGTAATGACAAGGAGAAGAGGAATAAGATACATAGGGACACACTGCATTATCTGCAATATTTCTGTAAATTCAAAACCTTTATAAAAAATAAAATGTTGTGGCATTTTTGGGTTTGTTTTGCTTGCAGTGCTAGTGATTTAACCCAGGCTAGGCAAGTACTCCTATCACGGAGCTACCTTCCCAGCCCAAAGTGCAGTTTTCAGAAACAAGTAACCCATCACTTCACTGGAACTGACTCTCCCCCGATGACATCATAGGCAGCTGGACAGTTGCATTTCTGATTGGATTATTACAAAATATTAAGAGTGCTGCCGTCAGATTGCACCACACCTTTCAAGTCACTCAAGACTAAGGTGTGAGAGGACTACTGCATTTTCAGATATGACAGCCCAGGTGGATTAAGCTATCCATGAGATCTAGGAGGGCAACTTTAGCTCTTCCAGAATGCAGTTCCAGGTACTTACAGAGCAACTGGACTTTGGAGGGAAGCAAAGGGACTTGCCACACACAGTTGTCTAGTTCGCCCTCAGTAACACACCCAAGGACAAGGACAGGAATCACCAGCACCAGTGTGTCTTCACAGCTCAGGCCCCTCTCCTGTTTCTATTTCACCACTGAAGATGGGGACACATAAAAAAGTCCTTGCCCAAAAGGTCACTCTAAATATTAGCTGGGGAACCTCTGTGCCTTAGTTCCCTCTTCTCTAAAACAGCTACGTCACAGGCGGTGGTGACCATTCAATGCAGTGTGCACATAAAGTGAGTGAGCTAGGGCCTCGTACACGGTAAGGGCTGGACTACACACAGAATAATCATCCTCACAGATCAGTGCCATTGCCACTGGCACCCACCATGGGTGACAGGAACTGGGCTGGCAGAGAAGGCATCCCAGAAAGTGCACAGGGCTACATTTTGAAAGGACGGAGCTATGCATCAAAGAGATGAAGAGACCTCTGTGCAGAAGGAAGAACGAATGTTAAGCTGCTGGCAGTGATATGGCCAGATACAGGAGCCACAGGGGACATCCCCAAAACAGCCAGGGGTCCCCAGATAGTGGAGAATCACTGAAGGGCTGTAAGGAAGGGGTAGGTACTAGGGGAGCTGGAGCCTTTACAGAGGACAGTGGCCACCATGGTGAAGATGGTCTGGAGGCTCTCACCCAGCACTTGCTTTTGTAGAGCCTTTGAACACCTCCTCCAGCATTTTTTCCAGTCACTGGTGTTTATACTTGCTTCATAGCTGAACTCCTGTAATGTGAGGAATCCTACGTCCATTTCCTCAGAACTCCCCTGGTATACAGTGGCACAATGCTGGGTACGTAGCAGTGTAGACCCCTACTCAACTAGAACCAGACTGGAACAGATGGGTTCTCCGAGCCCAACACAGTTTCTTTATCTTAAAAACTTTAAAAAGATACTCCCATAAAGGAGGTAGATATAGCTAAGTAATTGGACCAAAGTTCCCGCTGATAACAACAAAAAATGCTTGGCATAATAGAACATCTGCTTAGAACCCTCTGAAGGAACAGGAGAACCACCGAGTCAAGGCACGAAAGATGACTGAGGCTTGCAGAGATGCACCCTGGTGATGGGTCCACTTCTGCCCTGGGCCATTATCCATAGAGAGGGGCAACTGAAACACTGAGGATGGTTTCTGATCTCCTCCTGACTCACCAAGCATGACAAAGTCAAGACCCCAAAGGTCTCCAGGGTTGGTGTAGAAGGGTAGACGTCTACAACTGGGGCTAGAAATCCAAATGGCTAGGCCTTGGCTGCTGGGTGGCCCAGCAAAGTCCTAATCGCTGACCTCAGACTAAGGTGATTTTGGAACGTGTATGCCCTAAAGCCCCTCAGAGATAAAGACATAAATTATTTCAGGGTAAAGAGAACATCATCATAGTCTACCTCAATTTATTTCTGGAAGTTTTTCAAAAGTAATATTCAAAATTCAACCAGAGATAACCAGGCACAAAGGGCATCATAATTTAAACTAGCAGAAATAAAGGCCCACTTGAATTCTTAACCTGAGAATAATCAGAAATAAATTTTAAAATGATAATTCTTACTGAGAAAATAAACACAGAATTGAAATTTGGGGAAGAGAAATGGCAGCTTTTGAAAAGTAACACCAATTTTTTTTAAAAACAAGTAACAGACAAAATTAAGTACTCAGTGGATGGGCTATGTCTAAAGCACATTGGATATAGTAGCTTTGTTTTTTTTAATACTTTTTTTTAATATTTATTTTTTTTTTAGTTTTCGGTGGACACAACATCTTTGTTTGTATGTGGTGCTGAGGATCGAACCCTGGTCGCACGCATGCCAGGCGAGCGCGCTACCGCTTGAGCCACATCCCCAGCCCGATATAGTAGCTTTGGAAAATGACATAATGGCTCTTTAAAAAAATTAACATTACCATATGATCCAGCAAATCCACTTCTGGATATATACCTAAAATTAGCATCTCACAAATATTTATATGCCCTTGTTCACAGCATCATTATTTACAATAGCTGAGAGGTGAGAAGCCAAAGTAACCATCTTTAGGTGAGTTGGACATACAAAATGTGGTCTTATCCATACAGTACAACATTTTTGGCCTTAGAAAGCAAAGAAATTTTGATATATAGTTCCCCACCTTATTCACTGTTTCTTTCTGTGGTTTGCTATACACAACCACAGTCCAGAAATACTGCCTGGAAAATTCCAGAAATAAACAATTCATAAGTTTCAAATTGTGTACTGTTTTGAAGAGCAGAATGAAATCTTGTGCTTTACTGTTTAGTTCCACCCAGGACGTTAATCATCCCTCTGGTATCCATGCTATATACACTACCTGCCTGTTAGTTACTCAGCAACAATCTCGGCTATAAATCATCCATCAAGTTTCATAGCGCTTGTGTTCAAATTACCATCATTTCACTTAAAACAGTTCCCAAAATGCAAGAGTAGTGACTCTAGTAATTTGGATCTGCCAAAGAGAAGCTTTCTTAAAGCAAGAAATTAAACTAAAGGAAAATTCAAATGCTGAGGTTGCTCAGATCTGCAGTACAATGAGCTATTTTGAGAGAGAAACCACATTCTCATACTTTTATTATGTATACTGTTCTATTATTGCTATTGTCCAAGTCTCACTGCGCCTAATTTATTACAGAACTGTGGCTAAATTTTATCATGGATAGGTATGCAAGGGAAAAAAACAAACACAGTACCTCTAGAGTTCAGTATGATCTGCAGTTTCC